ATCTACTTCTTTTATTTAATCATTATTTTTACAGTTTACTCAATGTCCTGACCTTTTTAGTATGAGTGGCCCTTCTCAGTAAAGAAAATAACACACCTCTTTGCAGTGACATGCTACGTATGTGCAGTTTAACCTCTTGTCCTGTTTGTTTGTTGCCCACTCTGGACAAATAAGGACATTTGTCAAAAGAAAATGAAGGACAGTCTATCTGCAGGCATGCTTTTAACAACACAGATAACCCCCTAACTTCAACACCTCACACACAACTGAACAGTATTTCAGGGCTAAGATGAACACCGCCACCATACACTTGCAGATAAAGATAACAATCTTTGTGATGTTTGAGCAACAAAGACATTCTGCATGAGCTCACAGAGTGTCCTCCACTGCTGCCATGTTGTTCCAAGGGCAGCAAACACAGCTGCAGGATAAATGAAAAAAATTGATGCTGAATAAGAGAGCAGAGAAAGGGTATAAAATGCACTCATATCACTCAGGAATAAGAAGCTTTTTAAACTCTCTTATAACTCTGCATTATTGACAGACAAAGTATGTACACTCATATGACATGGCTGATTCGAAACTGTGTAGAGCAGTGGTTTCAAAACTTTTCAGCTTTTGACCCTCAAAATAACAGCAGCAGAGAGAGCTGTACCACAAATAATTTTTGAGTGATAAGCATTGGTATCAAATCAAATAAACATGATGTTTCACAACCCACAGCGAGGTCCTGACCTTATATATATATATATATATATANAACCAGAGGTGCTCTGGTGTCGGAGACCAAAGGCTTCTAAAGCAGAGGGCCACAAACTCGGGTCCCTGGACCCCCAGGGGTCCATGAGAGGCATCTTGGGGTCCTCAATTTTTACTAAAATGTTAATTTGGTTTTTATTTTTAAAGTGCATGGAGAACAATGAACTAATAAAACATAAACCTAATAAAAATATAGTATTCCCATGGCATTTAGGGGTTGAAATACATTTAACAGCATGGGGTTTATGAGGGGGGTCCAGGATATTTTTATTTTTGTCCTTGTAAGGGGTTCCCTGACCCAAATGACTTGAGAACCCCTGTTCTAAAGTGTTCAGAGGACGAGTGCAGCTTTTCAGCTGTCATTAAGCTCCTGCAGCCTCCATCCAATCCGAGAAGGGGTTATCTGCAGAATCAAAGTGGGCGTGTCACAAGAGTGGGCGTGTCTAAAGCATAAACAC